TGAACCGAAGATCTTCAGTGTGTTAGACTGACGTGATAACTAACTACTCCACGAAACCATTGCAGTTAAGCGTTTGTAAAGCATTATCTAACCTAATAACATACTGGTATAACTGTGCAACTGTGTTTTTAGTCAGACAGGTGCTACAATAGTTATTATTTGCTAGTGTCAAAAATTATATATTTAGTAGTGCATAAATAAGTAATGACCGCTGATGTGCGTGTGCTTGATTATCGTAAGTATCCGAGTATCTGACTAATAACGGCAGATAGTTATGTAATTCACCACTGCACTCTCCAAATCCTTGGCCGATCCTCATTTCACAAGGGAGACGATGAAATTCATGATAACATTATAGTCTCATCACTTGGTAGTCCCAACTCCTCTTCAGACATCTTGAAGAGCTCGAGGAAACTGCGGTTGCCGAGAGAAGCCAAGGGTATCACAAGACTTTTCTCGTCAATTATGTATGTTAAAAATCAGCCTTTATCAAAAGTTGATGATTGATTAGAATGATTTGCAGCTGCCACCTTTTTAATAATTCCTTACCGAACTAGTTCTCTTATCTTCCTATGGCTGCATCTTCTGCCTTTTTCTTGCCATTCTGATGAGTGATAATCAATTTTCATCAACTACCAAAGCTGTTCAAACAGATGCATGGAGGGGGTGAATTTCGATAGTTTGAGGCCAAGTTGAGTTAGTTAGGCATTAAACATCGATCGAGTCACTTGTCCACATACGTCCCAGCAGAACGGTGTGGTTGAAAGGAAACATTGACAGATATTATTGAGACAACCTTATGTCTCCAAGTTCAAGCATCAATGCCGCTCGTCTCGTGCAGTACTAATGCCACTTATATTATCAGTCGACTGCCCTTCAAAATCTTAGTAATTTGTCTCATCTTTGAAAGTTGGTTTATAATTTGATCTTTGGTTGCGAATGTTATCCCTATTTGAGGCCTATTTGACAAACATAAGTTGGACTTTTGATCTCGTCGGTGCATCTTCTTAGGGTACTCCTTAAAGCCCTAAATCAACATGGGTACTGGTGTTTTGATCCTCAAAGCAAAATATTTTTATCAAGGCATGTGAAGTTTGATGAATTTGTCTTTCCATTTTATTTCCTTTAAGACAAATGCAAGTAGAACAGTAGCAGCTTATACATCTGCACCAGGGCAAGTCCCTTCTACTCTTTTGTTATGTAGAACTTATTAAATATGTTGTAATCATGGCAATCATATTGAACCTAAACAATCATTATAATTTATAATACATTTTCAATCTATTTACTATAATGACTAAAAATGTGTCATATGCTGGTTCAAGTGTTCGAATTGTTTAGGTTCATTTTTAAAAATTAACGAGCTTTTACGGTTACGTTTGTCCCTATAATAGACCTAATTTATCATTTTCAGACTTATGATATTATCGCATCAATTTAACTTCAAAGTTATTTAATTGGATCTTCCCATACCCTAAACTCTAACTTCAAACCCTAAATCATAACCCCTAGACTCTAAAAAATAACTTAAAATCCTAAACAATAGTAAATATTTTAAACATTGACGTAATTGAATAACTTCAAAGGATAAACTGATACGAGAATACGATGAGGACAAAAATGATAAATTGCTCTACTACATGAAACAAGCGATCCTTAAACCAATTAACAAATAATACATATTATAACTAAATAAAAAAAATTTAAAATTATATCGATGTTACTTCTATTAATTTTTTTAATGTAGTTGCAAAGTAAGAGCATTGGATTCATGAATGTATAGGTGACAAAAAGTAAAAACAAAGTCGATATTTCATCAATGTTTCACCCAACATCCACTTTCCTGTTTCACTTGATGTGTGCAGAAAAATGCAAAAATGGACCAAAGCGGAGGTATTTGTGGGAGTCACGAGTTATTTAATCTTTGAACATCTAGTCCATCTCATGAGTCTACGAAGGAAAGCTTCTCTCTCCAATGGCAGAGTCACAGCTTGGTGAGGATAGATACGTGTTTATCTTTAAATCTAAATTTTTTTCGATTTGTTAGTTTATTGATGGTGTCAATCCTAAAAATTTTCGTGTCCACCTTGAAATTTGAGTTCTCTTCTATTAGTTACTTATTTTACGGACAATGTCCACCTGAAATTTTATTTGTATTTATCCCATTTAAAAATTTTATGTTGTTAACATATGTAATGCTCATCTTGAAAATTATTTCTCGATCTGTCACTGTATCTCTCTCTGTTCGATGAGTGGTTTAATTCAACTTATCTAAAATGAAACTTTGGGTTTGATTATGTTATTTCCTTATTTAAAATTTAAATTCACACTTTAATTTTAAGTATTTAACTTCTTTTTTTCAATTTATCAAACAGGAAAAAGTTGACATGCCACCTTGCTATTCTTATCCCAAATGGACAGAAGGAGCGTTTTATTGTAATGTTTTTGGTTGTGGGTTGGGTTTGATGGAAGAGGTTATTGGTTTTGGAACGGTGGCCGATGGACTTTTAAAGCAATTTGTTAGGTCACAAAATAATTGGCTTACCACAACTTTTACGAACGACATGGTTGCGAAGGAGAAGTTATTATACAATAAATCTAAGCTGTTATTAGAGGTTGAAGAGAGCTATTATAATAAGCAAAAATCTAGAATACAATGGCTGCTAGAGGGAAATCAAAACCCTAAAATCTTCAAAGTATAGTGAATGCAATTAAAACTTTCTACATGCTATTATTATTATTATGTAGCTGAGACTTATCAATTGTTTTACTTTTTTTTAATTAATTATTGATATTTAATCTATTAACCGATTAATTCAAATCAGATTTTAAAGATGTCTATTACAGGACGTTCCTTTCAACCCAATTTACTCTATTCGCAAACGTCAAAGTTCGAACTTCTGACATTCCTTAAGGAATCTAGTGTCTCGTCTCGCTAGACCAACTGGTTGTTGCTTGGTCATCAAGTGATTTTATTGATAAAAGAAAATATTATTCTCTTTAAAAATATTAAATTCGAACAATTACGTTTATAAAGTCTATGTATATCATAATTCGGAGGTCGTGTGATCGTGTCCCACGGAGGACATTTCATAATTCAGAGGTCTCCCACGAAAACTGCTCTCAACCTGGCGTTTGGGGCAGCGTACTATCATACCTCCCCTTATCCTATTATATATGGGAAAAAGGGTCAGCTTATATCATCATCAGTTAATTAAAAATTTTAAATTTATATTTGCTATATAATCATTTTAGAATATTAAAAAATATGTAGCTAAGCTTATCATGAATTAGATTTGTAAATGGTTTTGTATAGGTGTTTTATTTTTCTAATTTAATTTAATTTAATTATTGATTTTTACCGTATTGAAAAGCAGTGCGGTTAAGAAACTGTGAGCAGCAATAGCAGAAGGCGGCTTGAAGAAAGTGAGGCCTAACCTAAGCCTGTAGACGGCTTCGGTTGTTTGAAAGCGAAGCCGTATCAACTGGGGACGGCAGAGAGAGTCAAAACTATTTCTGGTACACGCTCGTTCTCCCCCAGTGCAATGGCGCGTCTTCTTCACTCTAAAACTGGCTTGATGCATGCATGAGTTCTAGTTGACCATTCAATCTCAAATGGATTTCTTATGCCTTAAGCTTCACTTTTTCTCCAATTCCTCAAAACACTGCCAATTTGCAACGTTTGGGTTTAGGACGTTACAGACCAAAAGCACTGTGTGATTGCAATTACTTTGTTTTTTCTGCAGACATAAATAATCAAATAATAGATAGATTTTGATTAAATATACGATACAATCATAGACAAATTAACTATTAGAAGAAAATGACAAAATTACAGGAATAATAGTTTGAAGAAAAGTTATACGGAAGTCGTAAAAGTTATTTTCTCAACTACGATGAAATAAATAATGTAGGGAGAAGTCGATCAGATCATTTAGGTGATATTTATTTTTACTGTGTAAGATCTGTAAAGTTTTTATGTCTGCGTCGTGCAGATCACGCGTAGACATTGGGCTTCATAGACCGTTTGTTTTTTAGAAGACAAAAACTCTTCAAACGTCTGCGCGAACTCTTCTTGGTACAGACATGGTTTTATGTATTCAAAGGTTTTCGGGAAAATTAAAATCATTTAAATCTATTTTAAAATTTATTTTAAAATATAGATTGATTTATTTTAAAATATGAATTAATTTATTTTAAAATATGGATTGATTTATTTTAAAATATGGAAAATTTTATTTTAAAATATGGATTAATTTATTTTAGAATATGGATTGATTTATTTTAAAATATAAAAAAGTTTATTTTAAAATATGAAAAAATTTATTTTAAAATATGAATTAATTTATTTTAAAATATGAAAAAATTTATTTTAAAATATGGATTGATTTATTTTAAAATATAAATTGATTTATTTTGAAATATGGAAAATTTTATTTTAAAATATGAATTGATTTATTTTAAAATATGGATTGATTTATTTTAAAATATAGATTGATTTATTTTAAAAAAATTATTATTGTAATTGTATGGATTATTTAAATTTCAGTATTATAAAATTAAAATTATTTAAATTTCAGTATTACAAAACTATTTTAAGTTTAAAAAATTAGTTTATTTTATATTTTAGTTTATTTTAACAATTTGCAAACGTTAAAAAACAAACAATATTCTTTTGCAGACTGTAGACTTTTAGTCCACCTCTTCTACTGTAGATATCTGCAGATGTAATCCGCAGACTGCAGACTTTTACTTCTTCAAAAACAATCACCATCTTAATGTCTTTAAAAAAATATTTAAAAATAATATATTTCAAAATACGCATGAAAGACACGTCTTCTCAATAACATTTTTAATATGAATAAATTTTTAATCCATTATTCTAGCACTTTTGTGGAAAGAAATTAGTTTATTTTATTAGAAAAAATAAGAATATTATTAAATATTTAAATAAAAATAGTACTTAAAATAATTTGAGGCTATATGGCAGGTTCCTCCCTCCTTCCTTACTCTATTTAAACTGCTGCGCTCTGCCTTTGTGCCTTTCAATTCTCAATTCAATTGGCGGAAAACGAAAACAAAATCGGTACTCTTTGGGCAAAGGAATCGGGGAAAAAGCTGTGAAAAATATAAGGGCTGTCATGGCATCATCCAAGGTGATACCTACGGCGTCACAGACGAATAACGACCTGCCACGTCAGTCGTCTCTCTGTTCTTCGCTCTCCACTCTCTTCGCCGATCTTCAGAACCAACAGAACAACAACAATCCGAACCAATCTCAGAACGCTCTTGGTTCCATGAACATGGACGATTTGTTGAAAAACATATGCTCGTCGCCACCGCCGTCTAATACCGACGCGCACCCGCAGTTCGCCGGTGTTTCCATATCCGGCGAAGGCGATTTCTCGATCCCGAAGGATGTGGCAAGCAAGTCCGTCGATGACGTCTGGAAGCAGATCGTGGTCGGTGGCGGTGATCAGAGACAAGGGGATCGTCCACCGGAAGGGGTTACTTTGGAGGATTTTTTGACGAAAGCTGGGGCGGTTAGAGAAGAGGATGTCAGAGGAGTTGGTAATCAGGCGGGAGTTGGTGCAGGGGGTTATGCTGTTGACCAGGGCGTTATCGACGATGGCGGGAATCATTTTTCGGTGTTTGGAAACAACGGTGGCGTTGATCATCAGAGGTTGGTGGCGGTAGCTGGTGGAGGCGCTAGGCGAAAGCGACGCGCCGTGGAGGCCCCTCCTTTAGATAAAGCGACGCTGCAGAAACAGAAGAGGATGATCAAAAACAGAGAATCTGCTGCGAGGTCCAGAGAACGCAAACAGGTCAGGCTCTCCTATGTAAACTCTGTTTGGTTGCTTAGAAAATCAGATTTTAATTGCTTTTCTTCCAACTTCGATACCTGTGCTCTGCTATTAAACGGATGTTGAAAATTGTCCCCCCCGGTGTTGCTTTCCTTGTTAATGCTTAGGCTTATACGGTTGAATTGGAATCACTGGTGACACAACTGGAAGAAGAGAAAGCCCGGTTGCTAAGAGAAGAGGTATGTCGGTTCCTGTATATATGATCTTAAACTATAGTGTTAAAGAATTTTCAGTTGCTTCTAAGCTCAACTGTTTGATTAAATTTTTAATGTTTCTAAATTATGCTGGTAAGCTGAAGCCATCAGTGTGTGCAGAATAGTTTGTTCAAAGTTCAAACTGTTACGAATGAATACCAAGTAGTTATGGTACCCAGATTTTTTATTTTTCTTTAGAATTCTCATTCTAATACCCTTTTCCAACTTATTCTCTGACATGTATATGGAAATATGATCCTCGCAATATGTATGATCTTTTTTAGAGATTGAGCATTACACGAGGTGAATCATTTGAGATTTTCACTCCCTTTTCTCCTAAATCTAGTAGTTACTAGACCCTTTCATGTTAAAAAAAATGTATGGGTTTTCATTATGCATTAGATGAATGCTTTCGTGTTGATTTTTCTGGTTGACTTTTGCAGGCTGAGCTGAACAAGGAGAGGTTTAAGCAGGTATGCCTCTTTTTAATTCAATTACTATGTGCTTCAAATGTATAATTTTATCTTTGGCTGAAGGTTCATACTCCTCCATATCTTTTAAGAAGAGATTGGCGTCAGTTCAAATTTAAATTCTTTCATTGCATACACCATATTGATATGATTGGTTTATTGGGTTTTATGTGATGAGAATATTAATGTTTGCATTCACCATAGTGATATGATTGGTTTATTGGGTTTTATATGATGAGAGTGTTAATGTTTGCTTGAAAAAGCGACTTAGTTCATATTTTGATGCTCTCTCGTTGCTTATTTTGAATACAGCTGATGGAGAACCTAATCCCTGTTGATGAGAAACGAAAACCACCGCGAAGAGTTCTCCGGCGAGTTCATTCGATGCAGTGGTAAATATGTCAGCCAGCTCCTGACCATTTTTTTCTTTTGGCTTGACATTTTCAAAGCATAGATAAAAAATGAATTGCTAGAACCAATTGAAGCGAGTTAATATTTGAAAAGGAACAACAAAGATAACATCTAAAAGTTTGTGCAAAGCTTCTGGGAATATTTTGGGACTTAGTTTTGCATAGGATCCCATTGCAGTTGAAGATGGGCGTCTGGTGCTTTAACTTATTATGTACTTTTGGTATTTGCTTAGATTAATGTAAAATGTTTGTGTAAATTAAGAAGAGTTCCATTTAAAGTATCGTTTTCCCTGTGAAGTAATGTTTACAAATTCTGGTTGTAAAATTCATAAGAATATTGGGCTGACTGCCTTTTTTTTTTCTTTCATGATAAAAGCTGAACCTATTGTCATTGGTGTTTGGGCTAGATTTGTAATAGATAATGGATGACAGAAGAAGGGCAGACAAACTAAGATTGGTTGTTCTTGTACTCGTATAGATTTGGTAGTTGGTAACAACTAGACGGAATAATGTTGTATATCTATATGGATCATTTGAAGGCCATTTTTTAAATAATGTATATGGTTGCAAAAAATAATTTAAATTAGAATCAATTAGTATAATAATATTATAAATATTTACAATTAAATTTAAATATAAACTCAACTTGACATAACTCAAACTTTATAAACTCAACTCGAAAAATTTTCAAATAAAATTTTAGTTATAAAATAAGACTCATCAACTAGATTAACACAAAAAAATTTAACTCAAATTGATTGAATACTTACTCCTACTTCAAAATTAAACTTAAATATAATATGCTATAAGTTATTTATAAAAATATATAATCAAATATACTATCTATTTTATTAAATTTAACACTTTAGCAAAAATTAAAGATTACTTACTTTTTTATAATTGAATTAATGAATTGATACGAACCAAACGATCTCGGTGGTAAAAAAATTATTATTTCTTAAGATTTCAGATTCGAGCACAAAAAATGTGAGGGGAAAGAGTGTTTAATGTTAAATGGTTGAGAATTATCTTTAAACATATATTTTCTTATACTTTTTTTTGGATAATTATGATTTTATTACCCAAAGTCAAGTTAGAAACAACCAATCAACCAATCAAACATCACAAAAAATCAAAGAACAATCTATACAAAAAGATTGGTTAGACTATACCCCAAACATTACATAGCTTTAAGTTAGTACTATCAAGTCTATTTATATTAGTTCCCCTAAGTTGGATTCCAACATGGTCTTTAACTTCTTTAAGCAAGCAGTCAACTGTTCTAAAACGTCCTTGGAGCATTCGCTGATTTCTTTCCTGTCACAGTAAGTAAATAAAAGCTGTCCAAGAAATTTTCAAGATGTGGTAAGAAGAGACCTCCCTTTCCATGAAGAACTTGCCTTTGAAACCATTTCATTCCATGTCAAGATTGATGACTTCATCCCATTAAGATTCAGAATAGAGTTCCAGAGTCCTACTGCCAGAGGATATTGCGAGAAGATGTGGTCCCTTGTCTCTTGAGAAGTGTTGCAGTTAACACAAAGATCTTCTGTGCATATTCCCATTCTAAGAAGTCGATCTCTAGTAGGAAACCTGTTGAGTATAGCCATCCAAGCAATCAAACTAAACTTTGGAATATGCAATGGGAACCAAATTAGTTTGTGCCAAGGGTCTTTCTGCCCTTTGAATCGAATCAAGTCCCACATTTCCCTAACTTGCTGAGTTTCGGCTGAAAGAATTGGTAATGCTTCAGTCCGTAATTTTAAAATTCTGTTAATACTCCAACTAATGTTTGTACCTGCTTGGAATTGCCAAAAATCATGCTACTTGAATACATAGCTTTTAAGCCATGTTACCCACAATGATCCATCTCCCGCGAGTATTTTTCGAATTAGGCTAATAAGTCATGCTCTATTCCAAGTTTTAATATTCTTGAGACCAAGTCCTTCTTCTGATTTAGAGAGGCAAACATTATCCCAGCTGATTCTATCACCAGCAACAGATTTATCTGCTCCTTTCCAGAAATAACTGGAGTAGATTTATTCTACCTTCTTAAGAATTGATGCTGGCAGTACAAGTTGTTAGCACCAATAATTGCTGACATTGAATAAGACAGATCTAATGAGCTCTAAGCGCCCTGCATAACTAATATTTTTCCCAGACCAGTGTTACAGCTTATGCTTGATATTGTCGATTAAAGCTTGGCAATCATTCTCGGTAAGCTTGCGTGTGACTAGGGGAATTCCAAGATAACGGTCAGGCAGAATACCTAATTGAAACCCAGTGATCAATTTTAAATTCTTAATGGTTCTAGAATGAATTCACGCAGCAAAAATTTCATATTTAGAAGAATTCAACTTTAGTCCAAAGACTTCATAGAACTGATCAAGGATACTAAGAACAACAACCACTGATTCAATATTTCCTTTGCAAAAAATTAGAAGATCGTCAGCAAACGAGAGATGAGTAAGCCCTATCTTCCTACATTTTGGATAAAAACCAAATATACCTCTGTCGGTAGCCAAATTAAGCATTCGAGATAAAATATTCATTGCAAGCATGAAAAGATAGGGGGAAAGAGGGTCTCCCTGTCTAAGACTTCTAGCACCATTAAAATAGTCGATTAGAGTCCCATTAAAAGAAATTGAGAACCTTGCTTGTGTGAAACAAGCTTCAATCCAAGCAATGAAAGAATGAGGAAGATTAAGTGCTTGAAGAATGTCTGAAATAAATTCCCAATGAATGGAGTCAAAAGCTTTATGAATGTCATTTTTCAGTGAACATCTCGGGGAAATTGATCTCATTCCATAACCTTTAACCATCTCCTGTGCAAGGAGGGTATTATCAGTAATGCTTCTTCCTCTAATGAATGATGTTTGATTCAAAGAGATTATCTCAGGAAGGAAATCAGTCAATCTTCTCACAATGATTTTAGTGATGATCTTGTAGATCACAGAACAACAGGAGATAGGTCGGAAGTCTTTAACAGCACTTGGATTGGGAATTTTTGGAACAAGAGCAATAATAGTAGAGTTAAAAGAAGGATGAATAGTTGTTGTATGAAAGAAAATTTTGACTGTTGCAATAACATCCTCACCCACTATAGACCAAGTATTCTTGAAAAAATAAAGAGTGAAACCGTCAGGTCCAGGGGCTTTATCATTGCCTTGGCAGAGAATAGCTCTTTAAATTTCATCTCTAGTGACTTCTTTGACAAGGTTTGTTGAAGCTTCAGGAGGCATTGAGTAATTAATAAGGTATTTAAGAAGATTTGAATCAATTTTTTGACCATATTGTCAGCAGTTCCAATCAAATTTGAAAAGAAGAAAATCACTTCTTTCGCCATTGCATCAAAGGATTCCAATCTATTTCCTTGATCATCAACAAGAACCTGGATTGTGTCTCTCTTGTTTTTAAAAGCTATCGTAGAGTAGAAAATTTTGGAGTTATTATCTTCATCTTTAACCCACTGAATTTTTGCCTTTTGCTTAAGGAACAAAGCTTCTACATCTTCCAGATTTTTTAACTCTTCTTGTAAAAGAAGTTCATTCTCAATAGCTTCCTCTCCCCTTAAAGTGAGAGTTGATGGTCCAACTCTCTTCTCTTAATTTTTACTCGATCTGAGAGGTTACTGTAATTTTCCTTGTTGAATCTCCTGAGGCCAATTTTGAGTCCTTTGAGTTTGGTAAGAAGAATTTGCATAGGGTTACCTTGAGTAGGTTGTAGCCAAGATTGACTAACTTTATTCAAGAAACAAGGATGAGTAGTCCAAAAATTAAAGAATTTAAAAGGCTTAGGCCTATTAGCAGGATTTTCTTTGGAGAGCCAAGTTAGTGACATACAATGATCTGAGAGTCCTGGGGCAAGGAATTCGACATAAGATAGCTGAAAAATAGGAGCCTAACTTGAATTAATCATAACTCTGTCAAGCTTTCTTGCAAGAAAAGAAGATTGTTGCTTATTACTCCAAGTATAAGATGGTCCAAAGTAATGATTATCTTGGAGATCAAGCTCATAAGTTAATTCTTGAAACTTTGTTATATCATAAGTGAGGTAATGACCAAAGACTTCATGGTCAGAACTTTCGTGGGAATGCATGATAATATTAAAGTCTCCTCCTAAGACCCAAAGAGCCTTATTAACAGTAGAATCAACTTCTTTTAACTACTGCCAAAGTTGTCTTCTTGTAATCCCATCATTACTACCATAAATAGTCGATATGAACAATGGAAAATCAAGGTAAGTTCCTCTAACAATAATGCTTTGATCAAAAATATGCATGATAGAGAAATCAATACCCTTCTTCCAAAGAACCCAAATCCTACCGTTGAGAGCATAGTCATAATTAGAACAAATATTCCAATTCTGAAATTTTGATTTGAAAATAGCCTCTGCTTTGTTAACCTTAACTCTAGTCTCCAAAAGGCAAAGAACATCAACATTGTTTTGAATGGCTCTAAGAAGCACTTTATTTTGTTTTAGAGGACTGTTAAGTCCTTTAATGTTCCAAAAGCTAATTATCATTGGGAAAGTGATCCCATGGAACCCCCTTGAACACCAACAGTAAGACCTTTAGCTCTATCAAGATGTTATTTTTTTTTATTTGAGTTCTTTCACCAAGCCTGTAACTCCCAATGATGCAACCCTAGGCTTTCTTTGCTGACTTTCTAAGTTATTAAGATTCTCCTCAGCTGAGTTTAGTAATTCAAATATGTTATTAGAACCTGAAAAAGGTGCCTTAGCAATCTTTTGAAGATCTACCTCTACCCCTTTATAGGACAGTTGGTAGAGAAATTTTTTCCATACCAATTGCTTCTGTATGCTCTAAGATATTTAGGTCGCTTTCAGCAACATCAATCTATTGAGAAACATCAGCTGCAACAACATCTTTTTGGTTATTATCAGCAACATTAATATAGTCAATAGCCTCTATTCTGACAGAATCATTAACTTCAACTACAACCTCCTTGCTCATCACATTTACTTCACTTTCAACAACTGTAGTTTGCTGAGCAACATCAATTGAATCTGAAGCTATTTGATCATTAGTAACAGTATCTGGAGGGACATTAATATCTAATTTTTCAAGTTCTTGTAAAACTTCAACTTCTCCAACATGAATTGTAGCAATATTCAGCATGATTTCTCCCTTCTTTTTCCAGACTTTTGATGCAGTAGGATTTGTGTTAGCTTTGTGCAAACAATCTTTTTCAGTGTACCCAAATACATTACATCTCCTTCATGATTGAGGAAGCCA